AGGGTGCCACCTTCCCAGTTTGACCTGCCGGTTTAAACCTCTCTAACCCAAACCCTTCCTTCAGAACCAAAGAGTGGTTCCAAGAATTCAAACTGCTAGGCTTGGGGCCATCTCCAATCACCTACGCAAAAGTTCTGCCAGCCTCCAGAGCTTTACCTTGTTCTTTACGTTTTGGACTTACCATATTCTCCAATTCTTCCATGGCCTTTCCATTTTGTCTTGTCCAAAAATGAGAAGCTTCTGAAAACACCTGCTGAATCCAATCTCAGCTTGCCACGTTACACCTCATCTTCTACCCATTCATCTTCCTCCTTGTGAGCCTCGTTCCACAGGACAGCTTCTATGGATGAAGCTAACCAGACTGGTACAAACATACCTCCCACCCTGATATCCAATCTCCTTGGAATGTCCTCTGGTCTTACTCCCCCTAACAGAATAGTTGCTGATCAAAGGTTTTCCCAGAAAATACCTTCCAATCGAGCTCCACACAGTACTGCAATAGTGGCTGCCACTTCATAGTTCCAGATATGGAAAGGCAGCCCTATTAAGCGCACCACCACCCCATCTACTACATGAAACTCCTTGGAGTTGAGACTGGGAGACCATTTAGAAATTATGAAGGTCCCCAGAACATCTTGGAAGCAGACAACTTCTACTTGTGCTGAGTTGTCCAGAAGATCTAAAACAGCTTTGCAACTACTAAAGGGGGTGAGGATGAAGGTGTCTCTTAACTTAAACTTTAACTTCAACAACTCAGCAAACTTCCTCGAGTTAGTGACAAGGTTGTTTGCTTTTGACCACTAATTTGCCTGTCCACTTTTCTCCTCCTAAGTTCACAGCCAAGGAAGACTTGTCTTTACTGTGTGCCAACACCTAGAAATGCTGGTCTGAAGTCAAGAAATCCTTGTTTAATGCTGTGCACTGCCTTTATAATCAGAATAACCAACCTTTTTCTCCTGGAACCTCTGTTGTTTTAAACTTTTAATACTGCTTTCGTGTAAAAAAATCATCAGCACTCCAGCTACAGTTTTCCATCCTTGACCCTTTCTTCCTTCAGGGAAACATAACATTTGCTTCCTTCCTGTTGTAAAGTATGCTGAAAGAGCAATAAAACATCCTTTGGCATTCTTCCTACATTCCACCACATATCTTCTCCCTGATTCTGCCAGTCTCTCTTTCCAATAAGTCTGCTTACCCTTGGAGGCTGCCTTAGACACAAACGTGGTAAGCCATTTTACCATCTCTATACCTTCTACCATGACTGTTGCTGTCTTAGCTCTCCTTATCTTCACATTGTAAGAGCCTTTCATCCTTATTTCTCCGAATAGAATCCTATATCTTCAATTTATTTTCTCTATCTCCTAGTCTCCTTGAAGCCTTCTTCCATCTTTATCCTTCTACTGAAGCAAGGAATCTTAAGAGCACTTTTTCTCATAGCAAATCTAATCCTAAACCAAAAAAAAAAAACCTCAATAAAGAGAACCTCTCATTTCAATCATCAATACCTAAACCAAACACCTTGAAGCATCGATGTTTCCTTCCACGTCTCCCATCCCAACCTTTTGTTGAGGGGTTTTGGCACAGGAGCTTTGGTGAAGAGAGCCACAGGAAGCAAAAAAGTTAGTTAGATCACCATGGAAATACTCCTTCGCATTGTCTGATCGGAAAACATGGATCTCTGTCTAAAACTAGGTATTGATCATGCATCAAAAGTCTTTCACAAATTTAGGAACTTCTTCTCAAGATTACATAGGATAAACCCAAGTGTACTGAGAAAAGTCATCAATAAATGAAGTGTAAGTACTTGTAGCCATTCTCAGTTGGAATGTTAACTTGGTCCCAAACATCAGATTACACCAGATAAAAAGGAAGATATGATCTTTTATTATGTAAAGGAAATTAAGTTCTATAATGCTTACTCAATTGACACACTTGACATTGAAAGTCACTAACTAACACAAACAGTTATGGAAATAAATAATTCAAAGACTCAGAGGACATATGACCCAAACGACGGTGCCACAACATGACTTGACTCAAGGACTCTGAAACCACATGACCAACTTTATTCTCCAACATGTAGAAGCCATCAACCATGTTCCCCCTACCGATCGTCTTCCATGAGGCCAAAATCCTAAAAGACACAATAATGTGGTAGAAAGGTTACTGAACAGTTCAAGGCATGAGTAATACTGCTAACAGACAAGAAATTAATTGGCAATTTTGGAACATGTAAGACATCTGATAGTTGAAGACCAAAGGGCAATGATATAGATCCCCGACCAGCAATGGAGGAGAAGGATCTATCTACTAACCTCATTTTATCTCTACTAGAGAGAAGGGCATATGATTGGAAATGGGTTGACTTACTAGTCATATGGTTTGAGGCATCGGAATCAATAATCCATGGGGATTCCGGAGAGCTAGAGGTTACATGGAAAGCAGAGGCTGAGTTATTTGAGGAGGATGCAAAGAAGTCGAAGGTGTAATCCCAGTATCTGCATGTCAGAGAGCCTACCATATTACCCAAAATGGTCACAGAAGGAGTTAATAATATCCTCCTTGGGATCAGAACCGGGGGACAATCCTAAGATGAATTTATTGCTGAATTACTATACTGAGATTCATGAGATGCTAGGTTGGTTGAGGTATACTTCTTCTAATTTGGTTTCTTATTTTGATCTTGTGTGCTGACTTCTTTCCCAGCTATTGTGCCCACTTTGGCTTGCCAATCAACTCTCAACAAGTTTCATGGGTGTGCTTGGATTAGTGATGAGTACACAACATTTTATCTTTATCATGTACTCTTTTCTGGCCTTCCCCCTTTTTTCTTGAATTTATGTTTCCCCTCACTGCTAAGGGATAGTCTCCCCTTCAGGACCATTCATAGCTGACCTCTTACTTTCCTCAGACAGGACTAGGGCATATACCTCTTGGACAAATGGGAGGTACTTGCTATCCAAAATCTGCACTCTAATGGGCTTGTACATGGGATTGAGGCCCAATAGAAAAACAAAAACACGTTGCTGAGACACAAGCTGTTTATAGGCTTTGTTAGTAATCCAACTCTTTCTAGACTGAAGTTAGGGCTGAATAGTAGGAAGATAAACTCCTTCCCCTTGCTTACATGTTGAAGATTCTGGTTGTACTTGATAAATTTTGGCATAATGCCTTTTCTTTGACTATGTTACTTTTACTTGTTCCTGTTAGAATGTTAGAATGAAGTCTCTTTGTATGAGTGTTCGGCTGATAAGAGTTCTTATTAGCCCATACTTAAGTTTAAGTTATCCTGTAACTGGGCCTGTGTTAATGGGCCTAAGCCTGTTTAATGTTTTAAGTTAACTGGGTGTCCCATCACTAATCAGGGGCATTCCAATAATTACTTGTATCATTGTACTACATTCAAATATAAATAATAGCATGGTCGACTGGGTAGTACAGTTCGACATTCACAGCATATCAGTGGTGTTCTTCTCCTCTTCTCTACTTCGAGTACATCTCTCAAGCTCACATGGTATCAGAGCACTAGCTTCTCTTTGGTTTCAGCAGGCGCACTAGCTTCTATTCTCTCTTCTCTTACTGTTCTTTCCATCTTCTTCCTTCTTTTCTGGGTTGCTGAAAAACTAGGGCTGTAAGAGAACAAAGCAGATTCGAACCTAGGGTTTCCCTTGGTTGTAGGGCTCAAGGGAGGTAAGGCCCAGAAGTGGATGTCCTACTAGGTTCTTGTTTCAGCAAATAGTAGCTATTTGGCTACTAAGAGAGGTCTGTATAGGACAGAAAATAGTAGCTATTTACCTCCCAAGATAAATAACCTTCATTAACAAACATCCATGTTGGATCTGCCACTACCCCAGGGGCATTGTGACTCCCAAAACATCCATAGATGTGAAAAGCTCACCCCAAAACATGCTTCCAACAGAGGAGATATCCTGAGGCATTGGTTCATCGGAAACACCATGAAATCCTGTACCAGTACCCACTTTCAAGAAACTCCATAGACAGATTTTTGTCAACATGAATTGAGACGATTGGAAGCACATGATCTCTAGAAAATCAGTGGCCCCTTTACCATCCCCCACATTGCAAGGCCTCTTAAACATCCAATGTGAACAAAGTACCAGTCCCAATAAAAATTGCCACAGAACTCCCAACATGTTGCTGAAGGACCCATAACTTTGTGCCATAGGATCCCTTTGTGAACCAAAAGAAACAAAATACTCTGGTGAATGACCATGACGAGATTGGGTCTCAGATTCACAAGCAGCACAGCAACCAAATTGGATGAGAAAGGTTTCAAATAGAATCCCAATAATGGTCAAGAAGCTGTGGAGTGAATTCAACCCTGCTATAATGTTTTCTCTTTGTTTGATTGCTTCTAGCATTATCCCCTTCACCCCCACACAGCACACACACACACAAAGAAAAGGAGAAGAAAATGGTGTTACTTATTTGTTGTTGTATAATAAAATATCTTGACTTGGGAGGATTGGTGGGTGGGTGGATGGGGGAATGATGTATCTCTGCTCTAAAGAAATAAGGGTACAACCCTTCCAGGGTGGCGAGGGGTTCTGTGAAGTCTTTCCTCCTGAGACTTTTCTTGGTAAAGAACAAAAAAAAAGCAAATTAAAATACCAAAGTTGGAAAGATTGAAAGAAATGGAAATCTCCCAACCTATTTATCAAAAAAAAAATGGAAATCTCCCAACCAGCATGGACATGTTTCTTGATAGCAATAACCAATGTTATAAGAAGCTTAATTTTCACAATTTTGATGCCATATTTTCTTCTATTTCTTGTGGACTTTGGGACTTCCTCTAAGAATTGTTGGACCCAAATATGCGATGTAACTTGTAAGCATGGATGTTTTCTTGGATCATGATCTCTTATGTCTCAATTTACCATTTATTCTTTTATATAACATGAATTTTTCTTGAGCTTTTGAGTGTATTACCTAATCTTTTCTTTGTAGTTCCTTTGCTTATTTTTCTTGATCTTCTGCAGAGAGGATGAAATTGAAGACATTCAAAAGGTTCACTCTCTCTCTCTCCCTTCCTCCCTCCTTTAATTTGGCAATGAAGTAATTCTTTAATGATGATGGGTCTTTTCTTATTTAAGCATTTTTCTTCCAGGAAATTTCAGTGTTGCAACAGTGTCGATCTCCATACATTACTGAGTACTATGGGTCCTATCTCCACCAAACCAAACTATGGATAATCATGGAATATATGGCTGGCGGATCTGTTGCTGATCTAGTATGTATTTCATAGTTTTCTTGCTTCCATGTGTGAGTGGGTGCTGTTAAACATTTTTCTTATATGCACACTGCATGGCATACGTCTTGAGGTTTTTAGTAAGAGAATTTCCTTTGCCTTGGCACTTTTTCTGTATTCATAATCAGACATTTTTTCTTTTCTTTTTTTGAGAAAGGCAAAGCATATTGTATTAAAATTAAAATATGAATGGTCCCATGTACAATGAGGTGCTGTACTTGTATATTCCGTTTAGGGACCTTCAAAAAAGTCCACCCTCAAAAAAGAATCAGAAAAAATCATCTTTAAATACATCATGTATAGACAACCAGTTCCTGAGTTCCTCAACCACAAGATTAATCACCCCTGTTTCAGATATTGATTCCTGAATTCCAGCTATCATCAGTAGCTCTATGGACTGTGGTCCCGTAAATACATCATGTATTAACAAATTATGAATTGCCCTTTATTCTGCTCAAATCTAAGGGCCATATAGTTCATGGAATGCCTTGTACATAGTTCTTTTTTGGTTGGAAACAAAATGACATGTACACAATTAAGGTTATTTGCAGTGATCTATCTCTCTTCTAATGTCATCCCATGAGCCTGTATTGATTTGAGAGATCATCTCAAAATCATTGTGCATTTATATATTCATTCTTAGTGTCATCTTGTAACAGTGTATTTTAGGTTGTTGACCTGTCCTTTTGAGTTGATTCTCCACACTTTTTTTGGTAGGTAGATTAGATATTGAAAAAGAATAATATGCATATGAGTGTGTCATCCATTCCACAATGTCTTCTGCCACCAATCATTTTCTTTTTAACTATTCACAAATCATTATCATAATTGTCTGCCACCCTTTCCTCAGGTTTTTGTGTGCCATGTTAAATTTTATTTTTGGGAATTGGACTTTCCACTTCTCATTCATGTTGCACCACTCAATTCATTTGGGCTGTGAGCCATGATCAATGGGTTTAGGTTTGTCTTGCTCTGCCATTCCCAAACTTCCTCACCATAGAAACATGATTAGGATGGAACCTGCCAAGTGCAGCTATTAGTAGCCTGAGTGGGTGTACTTAACCATTTGGTATCTGGCTATCCTTGGATTGCTAGAACTCCTCTAGCAATGCATAGATTATCCCTGCAACCAGCACGGTTGGATTTCTGAAGAAAGAAGTGACCCACATTGATCTAACTTCAATTGAGTTGCTAAACTTGAGTTATTCTTTCACTTATTTGATGTGCATGTTTTTAAAATTGATGATTGGAGAATGATGCTTTCCCTTTAATCTTCTATAGCTCTCCTAAAGTTTCTATGCCTGTAAATCCTTTTTTATTCCCATCTCTTGGAAAATGATTGTTTTATACTTATTGAGCTTCAATACTAATAATTTCATCTGGTTACTAACAAAAAAGGCTTACCTATTGGGAACATAGTGGAACAAGCTTGAGGCCATGATACCAAATTGGTGTCAGAGCTTGATCTACACAAAGTCATGGGAGATCTGTAACTGAAGATTCCCTTGGATCTAAGTGGCAGCCTTCTGATAGGTTGTTGATGGTCTCTGGTGATAGATGTGGAGATTCTGAGACTTAATATACCTTATTAGTATAGTCCCTGTTGTATATTGCACTTTTTTGTATTTGTTCTCTTTTTCCCCCTTGCAGCTCTGCATGGGCATTGTTGTAATTGTACATATACTTTAATATATAAGACTCTTTGGGGTGGGGGTCGAAGATTCTTGATACTCCTAAGTCCTTTTGTGTTCTCTGTTCTATTTGACCAAGAGAGTTTACATGGTATCAGAGCAGGTCCTCTGTACCAGCTCTTGACATCAGGTTTCTTTTAACCCTACATCTGGGTTCTGGTTTGGAGTTTTTTGAGTGGGTTGTTTTGATCAGCAAGAGGTACCATCTTTTTCCAGGAAAAGACACTTGACAGGTTAGTAAACCACATTTTTTTTTCAATTGGCTGGTTCAGTCATCATATAACCCTATATCTGGTGTTGCCCTATGGTTTCTTGCTCCCCATTTAATTGGACAGGTGGTGTGGGCAATAGGCTTAATGGAAGTCTACCCAGCCTTGTTTTTGGTGTGGTAACCTGGAATCCCACTCTCGGAAATACCTTGGACATGTGGGAAGTGGACCAATTGGTGGACTTTCTTTAGACCCTCCAGCAGTTATCTTCCCAGGCCGGTCAATCAGATTGTAGAAAGTGGAGGTGGGAGAATAGTGGCCTCTTCTCTGTCAAATCCTTATATAAAAGGCCGAGTCAATGCACTGAAGGTGATTTCCTTTCTAACAAAATTTGGTAGTCAGGTGCTCCCTCTAAAATGAAGTTCTTTGTGTGGCTGGCTGTGTTAGAGAAGTGTCTCACACGGGATAAACTGCTAAGTATTGTTGGACTGTGTGAGGTGTGTGTTAGCTCTTGGGAGTAGGAATTGGCCAACCATCTGTTTTTTACACTACCCTTTCTCTTCTAGGGTATGGAGTATGGCTCTGGACATGTTTAGATGGGTAGGTGGTTTCTCCCTTTCCATCTTATTCTTTTTGAATAGTGTGGAATTTGATCCCTTTGGCATTTTTTTTGTGTGTTTGTGTTGGGGGGGGTGGGGAGGAGATACTTGGGTTTTTGAAAATAGAAGTTCCACTGCCCAAGAGGTGCTAAGGAGGATTAAAGCTATGCTCTTGGTTGTTAGCAATGTTTTAAAATGCAAAGACGTGATGCGAGGCGCTCCACTACCTAGAGGGGTGAGGTGTGTAGTTCAAAACGCAAGAGGCATAAGTCCCGAACACAAGGAGGCGTAAGGCTCCTTAAGAGGAGGGGGGTTAGGAGGAGGATGAAGAGGAAGGGGGGATCTCATTTTTATAAAAAGCTTTTATATTAAGAAGAATAAAGATGTGTAACATTAGTTGAAAGGGGGGGTCTGGGGGGTGAAGCCCCCCAGCCGAAGGGGCAGGGGGCAAACCACTTTCTTTCCCCTTATCTTTTCTTCCCTTCCCTTCCCTTTCCTTTCCTTTCCTTTTCTCTTTTTTCTTCTCTTTCTTTTTCTTTTTTTTTTTCTTTTTTTCTTTTTTTTTTCCGTCTTTTTATATCAGATGTGCATGAGGCGCATGAGGTGTATGCCTCTAGCATGCCTCATGAGAAAAGTGCCTCTTGCACCTGAGGCATACGCCTCAAAGGTGTCAGCGCCTCCGGCATACGCCTCAGGGCGTTTTGGGAGCGCCTCCAGGCGTACACTTCCCACGCTTTTTAAAACACTGGTTGTCAACGAACAAGGAGTTTATAGTCTCTGACTATAGTAGATATTTTGATACAGATACTTTATTTTCTTGTTAATTGGTGGTTAACAAAAACTTTGCATACTCTCCATTGGAGTGTATATGGGTTATATTGTATATCCTTTCTGTTTGTTTTAATACAAAACATTACCTTTTGAAAAAAGAACCTCTTAATTAGACAAAATACCAACCATCTAAGCAGAAGCAACAAGGGGCGCCTGAAGATCCATCAGCTAAGGAGAATCAACAAATATCAATGTTGTGGCTGCTGTTCCTGCTGCAGTGCAGATCAAGGATCAAACTTAAAACAGGGAAGGAAAGACTATCAGGAGGAAGAAGTCTTGGAGATTGTTAACAGGTGTATTATATGTACTGTACACAGGCTTAGTACCCACAGGGGTATTTTCGTAATTCTGTATACATTTTGTTATGTACGGCCAGAACAGTATAAATAGAAAGCTTCACTCGACTGAAGCTAAGTTTTGTTGAGGCCTTAACTCAGTTGCCTCTTATTCTTCTTCCTCTTCTCCTTCTTTCTTCTTCTTTTCTCCTTCTTTTCTTCTTCTTCTTGGTCTCCTGCTCAACATGGTATCAGAGCAGGTTCATCCATGCCTAGAAAACAACTAGCTGAGGTCTCTCTCCTCTGCTGCGAAGGAGTTATAGTACTGATGCTCGAAGACAAGGAAGAGGAAGTTTTTCTGTGCTGCGGTTAGTCTCCACTGCCGAGTAGGGCTCTGCTACAAGTATGCTGACTGTTCAACTTCCCAGCACAGAAAAAA